CAAAGTCTAGGAGACAAGGTCTTTTTGTGAACATTTTTTCCTATTTCTACTGTGAACCAGGATTCTTATAAGGAACACAACAAATCTGTATCTAGGGTCCCTTATGCAATGATTAAGGAAGTAACAATAACCCCCTCTCGTCGCGTCAACTATTTCAGTAATTACTACGATTTATGTTATTAGAGCAGTTTTGAACTGAGTGTCGTAAAGTTAAAACCCAAGTTATAACTCTAACCAATCACAAAGGACAAAGACAAACAGTAAACCAATCAAAACTCGAAGTAATTACAAGTAGCTGACGCAAAGCGCGGGAAAACGCGTGCGAACGAGTCACGATTGGTTTGTGTTGGTTTTACTTCTGATTAGATGAAAAAGTGGCGCGAGATTTTTTAGCCAATCGTGTAGGCATAGTTCATAGAGGGGAATGGTTATGAAACTCGACAAAGTTCTTTGTTGTATGTTTTTGCTCTCTTTTTTGGCCTTGACCGTGCGCAAAATACAATAGTTGTTTACTAGTGACCGACCAAAAGAAATGTTTTGATTACGTAATACTTGCATAGTTTATGAGCGAAAAACAAACGATTGGATACGGTCGTGGAGCTTCCAACATAAATCTTGGCATCTCTGTTTGCTGCTTTGATGTTTGCCGGGCTTCATAACCATTCCGTTGTATTAACTATCAACTTCTAAAAAATTAGATCTGATGACGAAGAATGCAATTAAAGGTGTATATTTCTTTTCACAGTTCGTTTCAAAATAGCAGGTGGTCTGTGAGCGGTTTGGCGTCACTCACTTTTAATAACCAAACCATTTTGCAGGCGTGTCGCTGTTTTTACATTCCTTTGATTCGCTGGTTTCTTTCCAGTGACACCGCTGACCACTTTCGTCGACCTCACAATGCTCAAACCGCCTCCAACAAATCCATTTCCACGATCGTGGATATTCTCCCGCTCTCTTCTCGCATCCGGGTAACCTCTGGTGGCACTCAGGGTCCGAGTTTGGACACCCATGAGGCTTCAATCGGCATTGCCGACATCCCGCCTCGTAGTACCCTCGAAGGTTTGCTTTTTGACGCGAGGTCACTTTGTCCCATGGCTCGCGCAGGTCAGAGAATTTCGTAAACAACTTTCCACCTTCGATAATGTCGCCGTACATGAAGTATTCTGTCCCCATCTTGATCCCGAATGGTCCTGAGACATTATCATCCATGTAACTGCGAGGTGTGTAGAGTTTGGTGGTGAGTTCTGTGCTTAAAACGCCAAACGCTTTTTCTTGTTGGCCATGCGATATTCCTTTAAACACTTCTTTGATGGTGATTGCAAAAACATCATGATGTCCGTCTTTTTTAGGCCCCGACTCAACAACTGCTCGTATCACTAAAGCAAAAGAGAAGACTATTACAATTTGTATTTGTTTAAGTCCAAAAAAGCACCGCTACAGAGTTGATCATTTTAACTGTTATAAAGGCTTCCCCTTTTCTGTGGAAAGTATTCATAGCTAGTGGCACTTTTAAACCCTTAAAAGACGCCTAAAAGCAAGAGAAGGGGTGGAAAAAATAAAGGCAAAATATTAAGGTTCCAACTGGGAGTTAAGCATGGAGACTTTTTAATCACGTTTGTTCGATAGATCATAATGAGCTTCGAATGGATCTCGCGCGACTAAAGCGCGAGGCGAGTGCGAAGCGAGCGTTACGTGCAGTTAGTTGCTATGGCTGATGTAAAGTTTATCTAAGGTGTCATTTTAAAAGCATTTTAATGGTAACTGAGCTGAGCCAATGGACAAAAATCCCGGAACACATATTTCGCAACGTGTCCGGAAACAGTCAACTCTCAATTACGATATCTCTGCACTTTTAGCCGATTTGAAACAAGATCAGTTTGAAGCGGTTTATATGGCACGATGAAGTACAGTATGGCGCGATCAGTTTTTTAAAAAGAAAAATTACAACGAAAAAGAATATTTGAGAAGGGACTGCTGATTTTCGATTCATTAGCACCTCAAGTATAACATCTTAAGGGTCCACTTGAGAAGTAAAACTTTGTTTCTTGTAATCCGATCTCAGTTTCGAGCATATGAACGCGAAATTAAAAGAACACGACCCATTTGGAGCGAATGACAAAAATACGCTGTAACAGTCAACTGAAATGCGGGATAAATCGATGAAATCTCAAATACAGTGTCCCGTGAAGTTTCTTATTACCTAAGTACGATACGCTTTTTTCAAGCCATGATATAAAACTCGCATTTTTAACGAACAAGTAGCCCTTGAAATAGAACGCGAGGGACATGCATTTTGTCGTTTTGATCTTTTCGTTCGTTTAGAAAATTTTCGTTTACAATATTATGACAGAGTTGAGCCGCTTTATGAAATTTGCCACAAACTTACCAAAGTCTGCTTCACAAAACGCTTGTTGTGGATGCTCTAACTGCATAACTCCCGCATAAACCAGAGCACAGGACCATGACAGGATGCATAAAATCACCACAGGATAAAAATGAACTGCCATGGTAAACAAATTGTACTTTCTTCGTCTTTTAAAGTTCTTTCCTGTCTTTTTTGAAGTTCTTCTGTCTTCAGTCTGTTGATATTTTCTCCATATTTATACATATCCTACATGTGGGCAGTTGAATGTCGCGTAGGCGTAGCCAAAAGGAATTCGACAAATCAACCTCATGACCTCAAATTTCGCATTTTCAAGTGTCTAGTTATGCTTCTTCCTGGGAATATTCCAGAGCTTACTAGACAGAAAGAAGATTGTAGTTTCTCAGTGGTCGCCCAGACATTTTCAACGTTTCTTCGTGGATTAAGCAAAGAATTCAATCAAGGAAAGAGCACTGATTGTCCCGGGAATGAAGGATTCTAACATATTCCTAACACATCCTTTCACTTTGTGAGTAAAACTGTTTCCAGTCCAAACCCAGCTAATGGATAATTACTCTGTAAACAAGACTTATTTTGCCATAAACAGCAATTTTATGAAAGGTTAAAAAGTCACGAAATAGAGTCAAGACTAGGGATCCTAAAACAGGAAAGCACGTTTTTCAACAAGCTGGACTGATTCACTTCACAGCCTATTTTAATCTGCTTTTAATTATTGTTTCTCGCGGAGTCTCCACTTTTTCACATCGGGTCATCTCGCTTTTGGTCAAGAACAGATTAGTTGTGATTTGTTCTCTCTTAGTCTCTATCACGTTTTGCCGCCCAGGTCGATAGTTCTACGCGGAACCCCGACCGCAGGAACACTCAGGTGAGGGGACGAGGCACGATTAATTACACAGAGAGCAGCTGTTGCTTTAGAGACAAGATCGTTTCAGCGAAAAAATAATTTAGATGGTATTAACTCATCAAAAACTAATCCCTGTCACGCCTAACTTTCTCTTAATAAACCTACTTTCGTTGTTTCCGTCAATTTTCTTATTTTAACACGACTTAAATAGTTTCAGTATCAAAGATTGACCGCACCAATGTGAAGTGTTTGCGCGAACGAGCGAAAACGCTAACCACAAGAATTAACTGTTATGATACGTCTAGAAATTATATGGCTAAAAAAGGGAACTGTTGTCATTAGAGACAAGTAGACAACATACTTAATATTCTCTTAATAAAATAACGCTCCCCGAAGTAAAGTCAATCGTCTGATTCATCAGAATCACTAAGCTAAAAACGGAAAAGAGTTCTCATAACAACTGTACTTGAGAGTGTTAATGTTATTAGGGGTAACACCCGTCTGCTACACTTCGTGTTGTTTCCGCAAGACATAGTGAGTTTCTTTCGTTTCTCAATCATCCACCTGGCTTTTACAGACTACAGTATGGTCAAGTTCTAGATAGATAGATAGAAACTTTATTAAGAATGTCATCAACCACCTAGCTGGGGAAAAACTCCCCTACTA